TGTAGTGGAAAAGATACTACATATACGAATGATAAAGGAATAAACGGTACATGGAACAGAATCACAGAAGGATGGTCCCGATGGTTGCGTGATCCTGTTCTTCAGATGTGTGGTTCCGGTTGATGAGGTGCAGTGGAGCTGAAAGGGACGGCAGCGATAGTCAACGGACCGCTCGACATTAACTGATAATGCTCGCGTAATACTTCAGCAACACTCGGAGAACACGTGCGGAGATTCGAACAGAATTTTTGTATTGTGTAGTTAGTTGTTGTATGTATTGAAACAAGCTGTACAATCATGTCATATAAAAGAAGATAGCAATGTAAGACACTGGAGGCCCACCCCGTTGAACAGTAGCATTCCTAGGTGTCTCATTTTCAGCCAAACTCGAATCCCGAGTGACAGACAACTACTCCGAGGACCTCCGTCCGACGCTGAGCAATAAACCCACCACCAGAACTCGGGCTACTCGAAAACTTCGGTTCCGAAGCCCGTCAATCCCCGTGAATTGTATTGGACCTGATCTGACCTTGAAGGTTGTGCGCTTAGGGGGTCCTTTGTGTTACTAATGGAAGCGGTGCTTAAGAGATTAAGTTCCGAGATTGAGAAGGTACAGGGGCTGCAAAAGGAACTACAGAAGTGTTTCCAAGCACACAGACAGTTGTCTGCACAATTATCAGAGAATGAAAATGTGAAAGAAGACCTTACTCACTTGAATGAATCCAATAATGTGTTCAAGGTAGTCGGCCCTCTGCTCCTGAAACAAGATCTCTCCGAAGCAAAAGATACAGTTAATAAGAGAATATCGTTTATTACTGCAGAACTGTAAGTGCTCTTTTTGAGTTCTAGTATTCCCTCCAAGAAAAAGACAGGATGAGCGGATTAAAGAACTGGAAAAACAACAAGAAGGTTGCAGAGAGCAAATCACTAAGCTTCAACAGCGTTTACAACAGGAACAAACAAAAGCTGCATTGAAGGCCTAAATTTTCTGTACGATAATGACCGTCTATGGATTGAATAAATTCTAAGTCGTTTATACTACTGGCTTTTCTCATAGACAAACGTTATTCAAATATCTCTCTCCTGCAAGTTGATCGCTATTCAGTTTGTNTTGTAGGAGAGTGATGTTTGTCCGGGATAAATATTACGCTTTCTACAATTCCGTTTTCAAAGAGTCAATACGTTTTTCTCGAATGTATGTTTTCTGGTAAGCGTCATTCAACGTCTTCCTTAGGTATTCTTACCTCTGCTTTTGGGGCAAATTATCCTTGCGGACACCCTAGCAAAATGATCCATGTATACACTAACTACTCATGAGCAGTGTGCAATGTCGTGACTATAAACCAGAATACTGAGTGTTTTCTAATGAAAAATGTTTCTTTCATCACGCGCAGGTTTAAAAAGGTGTTTTATGAATTTTCAATCAAGATAAAACTTCCTGATACGTTATATATATATATATATATATATATATATTCGACCGGCTTGAAAACAAGCATGGTTCCAACGCAACA